CTGATTTTGCATGGGGCCTTTGAGGCCCAGGCTGGAACTATCCTGCCATAGATGGCCTCGTTCTTCCATCTAGTGCGGAGATCATGGACGTTGGGGACATCTCCCCCCCCCCCCAAGCCTGAATAAGGTCCACGATCTCCACTCTGGCCCAAGAAGACGCCCGCCTTCTCCAGGCCCTGGCAGGCTTCCGGGAGCTGGCAGACTGCTCCGGGGGAGCAGTGAAGGGCTGGCTGCTAGTGGCTTGCTGGCTCATGTTTTGGGGCCACTGGGTCAGGGGCAGTGACTTCTGGCTCTGGGCTGGCAGGCTTAGAGCTGGCACAGACACTGTGGCCAGAGTCAACCCCTTTAAGGGCTCCGAGGTGGGAGGAGAGGGGAAGGAGAGAAGTGTTCTTGGTTGAGGCCACAGTGGCCACCAGGGCACCCTGGGAAGGCTGGAGGCCCCCTATTTCGAAATAAGTGACTACACTGCACTTATTTCAAAATAGCTATTTCGAATTTGGCGTTATTCCTCGTGGAATGACATTTACCAAATTCGAAGTAAGCGCTCCACTATTTCGAATTTATTTCAAAATAGCAGTTTGGCTGTGTAGATGCTAGTAAAAAGTTATTTCGAAATAACTTTGCTGTGTAGACATACCTATATAGACCAGGCCTCAGAAGCTGCAAGGGGGGGTGGCGGGCATGAGAACCTGAACAGAAGTAGTTGATTTTTAGATCAATTTTAGGATGGCACGCTGTCAGTAGAAAAAGGAAGTACAAAGTAGCTGCAGCTACTGACAAACTTTCTGGGAAAAAAATACTAAGGGGGTGACAGGATCTGATATCCTAAATCTAAAAGGGCAGTTATTAATGGTGCACATTTGGTCTGCTTCTTGCTCCACAGAGTCTTTATTTTTAAAGAGGGATGGAAACATCACAAATGTCTCATTTAATAAGATGACGTTAATCTATGGTCTATTGTGGTATAACAGCCTTTAAACAAACACAGTGATGCACTTCTCTATATAGGAATACTGCCTGGAACAAGTCTGGGCAGTGAATCAGCCTACATCAGAGCACTACAGTTTGAAAATACCTCTTCATTTAGCAACAGCCAAGATTTTCAGTACTTAAATTGCAAGCGGGCACTGTGCTTTGAGTCTAAAAAAAGTGTGTGAAGGGACATCTTTTTTTAAAAAGATGGAGGTTTACAAATACAAGTGTGCAATTGTACACCTGCTTTGGTGCAGCAGTTACAACAACTGCAGGCACAACTGGCCATTTGGATGACTAAATGGTCATTTGTGCAATCGTCAATTCTCATATGTAATTGCAGCTTTGAAAATGTTGGACTTAAAAGAATAGCTGTCAAGCAGGATTTTGCTTTTTAATCTTTGCCTGTTTTAATGACAGGGATTATTATGAAAGATGAGACTTTAAAAATCCAATATTCAGCATTTGTGGCTTTTTTTTTTTTAAACTCTGCTCCCTCAATTTCATTTTTGTCTCCAAGGAACCAGTTTCCATGCTGTTTTTTTGTTGGGTTTGCTGTATTGTAAGCAGCATGAGGAGCAGATGTTTAATATATTGATTTGGTGAAAATTAAAGACCTCTATTTATAGCTGTTAAAATGTCACTTCAATTTTCAACTTAAAAAAATAACTTTATAATAACTAAAACCTTAAACATATAGGCTGTGTCTAGACTGACATGATTTTGCGGAAATACTTTTAACTTTTTTCCATTAAAAGTATTTCCGCAAAAGAGTGTCTAGATTGGCACAGATGCTTTTGCGCAACACAAGGCTACTGACCTCTTCCTCCTCCTCATAGTCAAAGACTGTATTCTCCTTCTCCTCTGTTGATGAGACTGCCATGCTCCTGAAAAGACATTTCCAGTGACAGGCACTTACACAATCATTTCTGTAAGCCATATTAAAGATGATGTGAGCAAGTGTACTAGGATTCTGGCTGCTAGATAAGTTAATTACAACGGCAAATTATCTCTGGTTATAGCTGTAAATAGTGGGCAATTGATATTTCTTTTGAACAATCCCTATCTGCTTTTAAATATTAACTTTGAATATTCACAAGGCCGGTGCTTATTTCTCGTTTAGGAACCCCAGACATGGAGCAGGCCCCAGTAGACACGCTGCTGTACACACAAAACAAAAAGATGGGCCCTGCCCCTACAGAACTGACAATCAGTTGTTGCAGAGCGATTGCCACTGGTATCAAAACAGATAATCAAGGACCAAACCCCCTGATTTTGAATACCCCCAGAATTCAGTGGTGTTTAGGATCAGGCCGTGAATCTGAATGTGGCAGCTGAGCTCTGTCTATAATTGGTTGAATCAAGGGCTTGATCAGTGGGCAGCGAAGCAGTAGTATGCACGGTATGGAGTGGTTGTGTATGTGTGTGCATAATTGCAGCAGAGTTCCTAGGCAGAGGGATTTCCACACAGCCAGAGCCATCTGCAGAGTCTACATCTCTGCTCCCTATACTCTGTACACAGGAGAGAAAGTGGGCAAAAGTTGAAGGCATGGCTAACTAAAAGTCCTAAGCATGATCCTCAGCCCACTAATGAACAGTGGAGCAGTTTATTTTGCTGCTCCAGTGAGGAATAAACCCCAAATGCACAATGAAGAGCAACAGGGGAACAGACATTGGACGGGTGTGGGCAGCAGGCCCTTCTCATCAGACCTTGTTGCTGCTGCTCCATGCATCCTCTTCCTGTCACAACAGAAGAGCTCCAAATCTTGCCTTCAGATCACCCCTTTGGAGGAATTTTACAAATGGATATGGATCCTGACTTTGGGGATTGGGTGTCTTATTAATGGCAGTATTCTAAGGCCCCCACTTCTGTTAGCTACTATGTGCTGACAAGCACAAGATGAGGCAAGTTGTCCCTTTTCATCTCATGGGAATTACTCATGCAAGTGCTGCCCATTGTAGGGGTCCCAAAAATGAGCGACCAGAATATTTTTCAGCTGGAAGAAATGGGAGCTGCCCTCAAAACAATGATTTTACCAGGAAGCTTTTAATTAGTGGGGTACTAGAGCCAAGGTTCTCTTCCCTTAGGCAGACTGGCAAATAATGCCCCAGTTACCCACACAAACAAACAGATAGCAAACACTTTGCTGCCCCAGGCCACTGTTTGCTTAGCCTGCATGGTACCTTGTCTATACTTCCTCCTTCCTTCCCCTACCTTTTTGCTTCTAGGTAACTGTGGTTACCGGGAACCCATGTCCACACCTAGTACAGGAAGCATTCTACTTGCCTCCCAGCACACATGGATTAAATCTTTGACTAATTGTAATACTAATGCACATGACATATAATGAACTCAAACCTACTGCAACTCCATTCCAGGGGGAACAGATGTTAATAGTTGCATTGTTTCAACATACCACGGTATGCAATGACAATTTGGCAGAGAGCAACACCTCTGCCCAGAAGGCAGTTTAGTTGTGGAACAAACGCCTTTTGCTCTAGAATACCACTGTGTGTTGGCCTGAGGAAATGAATGCTTTAGCTAGGTGCTCAGCCAGCGTGTGTTGGTGTGATATTATAGGGATCAGTGGGACTATGCCAGTGTACAGCAACTGAGCATTTTGATTTGTTCTAATAAGAGAGCCAAAAGCATGAACTGGATGCTTTCCCTAAAAATGCAAAAGGCAAGTAATACTCACACATACCTGTAGCTCTCATCTGATTGACAGCTCTTTTATATTTACATCCAGCGCCTTCATCGGGTGTTTCATACTTACTGTCGTCTTAACTGCTGGGCTTTCAAGCTTTGCTTTGAGAGGTTTTTGCCTGGCTTGAGGGATTCCTTTCTCTGCATGATTTGACTTGGTGGTCTCAAATCAGACCCCGCCACAGAGAAATCAATACTCTGATGCCCTGTATAGCCAAGATAAGGCAACTTGCCACGTTTGGTCCGGGGCGTTGCATCCTGGCCTGAACACAAGAAAATATCCTTAGAAGGCAAGGCTGGGCACATTGAGGAATGGATGGAAATTCTTGAAAAAAAAAAACTTACCCTTGGGAGCATGGGAGCTTTCTTCTTTCACTTTGGAGGACATTTTCATCGCCTTTATTTTCATCTGCTTTTTTTGGTACTCTTCCTGCCACTCTTTTGGAGAGAGCTTGAAGAGGAAGTTCTTGTACATCTTATACTCCTGCAGAGTGTCTTCAAACCGGGCTATCTCACTAGGGCAGAGGTGCAAATCAATTGCAGGAGGTTTGACAGCATGGCAAAAAACACCATTCTGAAGAAATTCCATTTTGAAATGTAGCTCTACTCTGAATAGCAACTGTTTCAAGAAGGCACCATCTCTCTCCACAGAAAGGACCCTGGGTGCATCTAGACTGGCAAGATTTGCCGCCTGTCTACACTGGCCATGAGTATTTGCGCAAGAACACTGACTTTGTACTGTACAAAAATCATTGGTTCTTGCGCAAATACTTTGACACTCCTGCTTAGGGATAAGCCCTCTTGCGCAAGTATTCTTGCGCAAGAGGGCCAGTGTAGACAGGCAAGTTAATTTCTTGCACGAGAAAGCCTGATGGCTAAAATGGACATCGGAGCTTTCTTGCGCAACAGAGCATCTACACTGGCACGGATGCTTTTGCGCAAAAGATGTCTTTTGCACAAAAGCATCTGTGCCAGTGTAGACGCTCTTGCGCAAATACTTTTAACTGAAAAGTTTTTCCGTTAAGTATTTGCGTGAAATCATGCCAGACTAGATGCAGCCCCTGTGTGTGTTCAGGGTGTAAACCACAGACTCTAGGACAACAAGTTCATAACGGTTAGATTTGCACAACCAGCACAGCTAAGAAGGAGTGAGCTAGCATCCATCTGTTTTTTCCTGTGCATCCTCAACAGAATTAAAAAGTGCTGCATAGTCCTGTCTTTTGTTTCAACAGAATTAGTCACTTTGTTTTGACCAGTTACCCCTGTACAAGGGAGTCAAGTATATTGATATAGGAGGGGGAGATTTCAACTTACCAGCCAAGGAGAAGGGGAGCTATGGAGAAGACCTGCCTCTTCAAGCTAAGGAGAGCAAAGGAGTTCTACTCTGTCTTTAGTAAAGGAGAGGGGACTCAGTCCCTTCGTCCCATTCTCACTCTTGCTTTAACCTCTGCTCCTGGGTGTGTCCGGTGAAAGCAACTATAATACAACAGCTACACCTATACGGTGCTGTTTTGCGCAAGAAATATGCAAATGAGGTGAAGCATGGAAGATCACTGCCTCATTTGCATAATTAAGTAGCTGCTTTTTGCGCAAGAGCCATTCTTCCATATTTTTTTCCAGGAGGAATGGCTTTTGTGCAAAAGCCTCTTGCGCAAGAAGCGGCTGCTCATTAATTATGCAAGTGAGGCAAGGAGATTTTCCATGCTTTGTATCATTTGCATCTTTCTTGCACAAAAGAGCGCAGTGTAGATGTAGCCCTGTGTTCTCTAGGACCTAATTTGGCCTGAAGTTGTCTCTAGTTGTAGTGGAGATGATAGATGAGATTGAAAGTATCTAGCCTGATTCTCAGAACCCAGCCTGGTTTGCAGGATTGCCTGTTGGCAAGTTGAGCAGATGTCACTCAAAAACCAGAAATAAAGCCTGGAACAGGCTTTTTTCCACAAAGGCTCACTTTAATGGCTAGCAGGAATCACAATTAGACTATCTGAAATCTGGTAGCCAAAAAAAAAAAAAAGCTTGTGTGGCATAGCACATGATCACCTGTGTCACTTCTCTCACTGAACCAATAAAGCCGCTAATCAAATTGGGCATCTGTAAAGGCTCATGGTGGGACACAATAGAGAGCCATCAGCTGAGAATCAGTCTCAGTACCCTATAGAACCAGACTTAAAGGAGAACAGCTTTCAGTTAGGAAGTTTTCCTGTTACAGGCATCCAGGAAGGGAGTTATAAACAAGATCAGTACTGGTTCAGTGGGCCAGTAAGTGCTGCCACATCAGAGCTTGGAATATCCAATTCATATTGTAAGTTGCCAGTGTAGCCGTGCAGTGTAGCCTGACAGAAGGGAACCTTTATGGGCAAAAGACAGAGCAGTGTACTAATGAGCTGTGTTGCTGGACATGAGATCTCTGAGGAAGCAGAGAAGTAATAAGTGGGGAGGGAAATTTTGGTATTTAGAAAACGCCCTAATTTCCTATTCCCCAATGAGGAAAACTATAGCACTATCCCAGTTAGTCTTCTCTAGCTCTAACTGATCATCTGCCTTGTGCCAAGCATATATTCTTTGAAAAATACCATAATAATATCTTTGAAACCTCAGATCTAAGTGAGTCAATACTGAAGAGAGAGCTGAACCAAAACTAGGTGGGATCAGAACCAGTCTTTTGGAAATATTAGATCCATTTCAAATGTCCTTGTTCATATTCTGTCTATCCAATGGCCTCTATTAGCTATTATACCAAACCTATTGGCTGTGTCTAGACTGCATCCCTTTTTCGTAAAAGGGATGCAAATTAGACATATCGCAATTGCAAATGAAGCGGGGATTTAAATATCCCCGCTTCATTAGCATAAAATAAGAGATAAGGGAACTTTCAAAAAGGATTTATTTTCTGAAAGATCCGCATCTAGACTGGCGCTTTTTTCCGGCAAAGCTCCGAGCCGGAAAAAAGCGGCAGCCATTTTTATGCTAATGAAGCGGGGATATTTAAATCCCCGCTTCATTTGCAATTGCGATATGTCTAATTTGCATCCCTTTTACGAAAAAGGGATGCAGTCTAGACACAGCCATCTAGTTTCACTGACAGTGCAAGGCATTATACTATCCATGTACTCCATGATGATGCAATAAGTACGGTAAATGGGAGAGCAGATTTTCCATCTGTCTTTGGAGATGAAGACTAAGTTCTCTGAATTTGAATGTACACAAAATTGTAGTGTTCATACAATTAAATGTACATGTCAATTGCCAGTTCAGCAAATGCCTGGTCATTTGCTTACCAATATCCAATTTGCATACATAATTGAAGTAATTTGGGTATGCACATTAGCCATGATATTGTACACATTTTGCGGTGTTCCTTTTCACTAACACTGTTTAAAAAAAAAAAAAAATCAAGCTCCAAGTATCTCCAGGGAATTCAAGTTGCTCTGTAGGGCTTTGTGCAACATTCTAACTTTTAAAATGAACAAACAACTCTCCCCATAAAAGAGCCTGCAATAAACACAATGTCAGATTGTGGTAGATATAATATGGGGCAATCCCTTTTATATTCCTGGCTCTCAGCAATGTTAGGGTTAACCAGAAGTAGTGCTATTGAAATTGCATCATGATAATTGAGCAACTGCCATGCAAACATCCTGACATTCCAGTGAAGTCAAAAGAGTTACTCCAGATATAAAGCAACACCAATGAGCACACAGTCCCAGCATTTTAAGATAAAGCCGATGCCTACAAAGTGAGTCCCATGTCTTCCCTAAAATCGTGTCCATGTTATGAGAAGGCATTCTTGAAGTTTAGTAAAAGAGATAGTTACTTGATTACTAAGCTTTAGTGCTGTAATTTGTGAAGCTCATTCTTTTCTTTCTACGTGTCATACATTCCAAGGCTAGCGAGTGAAATTCAACAGTGCTATGAACTGGTACATCTGTAGGGGTAGCACCCACTAACACAGTAACTGAACTTGGCCCAGTTTTCATAACTCTGCCATCAGTTTTCAGAAGCACGTGGATGGGGTAACCTTCCACCCACACAAGAAAGTTTAAGGTTTTTTTTTTTTTTTTTTTTTTAAATTTATAGCATGGAGGAAGGGTGGTGTAGTCATCTCAGTGTTATTCAACTTCATCACAATGTGAGGATGTTGCAACTTGAAGTTGCATTGTTCCCTTACACAGCCGCTGTCTCATCACAGTTGCTTCAGATGACATTGACAGCACAGACTTTAAGGTAGCAGCCCTGAGACTCCATAAGGTCTATTTATTAAAGGTGCAAACTATTCGTTGGCACTGCTCAGTGGGTCACCGTTACCTTTGAATGCTCATGATTTGTGCAGCAAGGTCCCGGATCTCAATTATTTTCTCTATCTTTGCTTTGGTTTCTTTTTCAGCCCTAGGGAAGAAGTCATACAAATAAGATTGGAAATGTGCATAGAACAGCAATTGTAGTGGGGTGGGTGGGAAGTGTATATAAAATAGAGGAAGCAGATGGAGCGGCAGGAAACGTTTGTTATATCTGAAAATGTGCTCTGCAGCCTCTTTGTTGAGATACTGCTTTTGTGATACTAGCCTGACAAACTAATTTCACCCAGCTCATTGGAAAGTATGAACAAAGTCAGACCAGATCCAGGGTTGAGGCCCAGAGTGAGTAGGGTTAAAAGAATTTCAGGTCAAAGGGAATGTTCAAGTTTGCTATGAAGAGAGATGGTAGAAAGCTTCACCTCCTCCCCCATTTCCCATTGCAACATCAATCTTTTTAAGAGAAAAATTTCCCTTAGCCACTATTTACTAATGTCCCAAACAAGAGGATTAGACCTAAGCATTCCACCTGGACTTCTAGTTATCAGTGACACTGTATCCACGTACGCAATTATTTTATTGAAATACTGGGCTCAGAAAACAGATGATAATAGTGCTTGTTTAGACACAGAGGCCCGGGCTAGCAACCAGAGGGATCCGGATGGGCTTGACTTGGGTTGCTAGCCACAGGGATGTCCTTAGGATTTATGGGGCTCTATGCTGTACTGTTAAACTGGTGCCCCATATGCCTTACAACAGTGAGGGGCAGGGATGATGATTTTTTAGAGATGTGATTTTATACATTTTCAGCAACACACTAAATGAAATCGCTGTAAAGCCATGTTTAAACTCAAGTCCTGTAGACTAACACACTGAATTCAGAAACCGACAGTAGATACCTGGGGTTAGCAAGTGCCTATTAAATGGTTACATTACCATTTGAACGGTTCTTTAACAGGTTCAATATTCTGCTAATAGGCCTGGCAGGCTTTTTCTGTGGATGGATAAGGAGAGCCCTGGCCAGCCAGCTGTGCTGCCACATCTAT